GTGATGGCTTGGCTGGTGTTACTAGTCTCTAATGGATTTAAGCATTGTTAGTTGTTCCATTTGTTCAGGCTTTCCTTTTCAGGACAGAATAGAGCCTACTAAAACCTTTCCACAGTTTTCCTGTGAGTCAGGGTCTTGCTATGTAGCAGAGGCTTCGTCTTGAATTTATGAGTGGTCTTTCTGCCTGCCCCGAGGGCTAGAATTACAGTAGAATTACAGCATACACTACCATACCATCTGTGTAAGTATACCATATATATACCGTGTGTGTGTGTGTGTGTGTGTGTGTGTGTGTGTGTAATTCCACACAGGACTTGGGTTGGTAGGGTGTTTAACTGACATGCACGAGCCCTGGGTTTGACCTCTAGAACCACATAAACCAGTCAGAGTGGCATATGCCAGTAATCCCAGCAACTCAGGAGGTAGAGATAAGAGGATCAGATATTTAAGGTCCTCTTCAACTACATAGTGAGTTTGAGGCTAGTCTGGGCTACATGAGATGCTGTCTCAAAAAGAAAAAAAAACTTAAATGAATTCTATACCAGAATTAATAATTCATAGGGCCAAGGAGTGCTCTCCTAGCATGTAAGAGGCCCTGAATTCAATCCCTAGCATGATATTAATCAATATTTGTCTATAATTATGAAATCACCAGTGATATTTATATTTTATGTTCTTTTTTTCATTCAGTTCTGGCTATTGGACCTAGGACTTTTGGGCACCACTAAACTAAATCCCAACCCCTCTCCCATGCTTTGTGTTGCTGTCCTGTGTTGTCTGTCTGAATTTGAGTATCCCTGCTTGAACGCAAGAATTCCCTTCAGTTTTCTTTTTCCTGTCTTTGTTTGGCTTTTGAGACAGGGTTTCCTTATGCAGCCCTTGGGGCCTTGAGCTCACAGAGCTCCACGTGCTTGTGCCTCAGAGAGCTAGGTAAAGGTGTGTGCACCACGGCCTGTTGTTTTGTTGAAGACAAGGTCTCACTCTGCAGCCCAGGCTGGCCTTTCCTGATGCCGCCTACTGAGTCGCTGGGATTGCCAATCAGCAAAGCAGGGAGCATTTCTTGTAGATCAGGTCTAGTGATGAACTCCCTCAGCTTTGACCTTGGAAGTCTTCATCCCTCCTCCACTTTCTGAAGGACACTTTCGGCAGGCGTAGCTTTTGTTTGACTGTATTTTTTCTTTTTCCTGTCATCCTTTTGAGTATGCCATTGCACTGTCTTCTTGCCAGCCAGATTTCTGCTGAGACATTCTTTCATAATATTTTGGGAGATCCCTTGTGTGTAGTAATTTGCCTTTCTCTCAATTATTTTTAATATTTATTTATTTATTTATTATGGATACAATATTCTGTCTGTGTGTATGCCTGTAGGCCAGAAGAGGGCACCAGACCCCATTACGGATGGTTGTGAGCCTCCATGTGGTTGCTGGGAATTGAACTCAGGACCTTTGGAAGAGCAGGCAATGTTCTTAACCTCTGAGTCATCTCTCCAGCCCTCTCTCAGTTTTCTTTATGACATTTGGGTTATATTTCTTCACATGGGTGTCTTTGGCTCATCTCAGTTAGAATTCTCTGAGTCTCTTAGGCATGGTCATTCATTTCTATCCTCAGATTTGGGAGGTTTTTGTATTTCTTGAAATAGGCTCTCTGTCCCTCCCGCCTCCATTTTCCTCTTCATGAAACTCCCATAATGCATCAGCCTACTTGATGGCGTTCTGTAAATCCCTTCGGATTCTATCACTTTTTTCACTTTTATTTTTTTCATAGGTTTTACTAGATAGCCAAGGCTGGCCTGAAACTCAAGATATAGCTCAGGCTTGCCTGTAGCCTCTGGTAACTGCTCGCTTCTAGCTGCCCTAGTGCTGGTGATACAGAACACGCCACCACACCCTGCTCTTCATTTTTGTTCCTATGATCTGGCAAACTGGACTCTGAGTTTGCGGTCTCTTCTTTCAATATCATCTGGGCTGCTGGGTGCTCTGTGGGGAAAGGCTCTTGCTGGGTGCTTGATGGGGAAAGGCTCTTGCTGGGTGGGGAGAGGCTCTTGCCTCAAAAGCCTGACAACCTGAGCGGTTCCCCCGAGTCCATGTAAAGGAGGAAGGCAAGAACCAAGCCTGCAGAGCTTTCTTCTAGCTTCCATGTGTGGACACCATGTCACATGCACTCCCCCCACACACACATCTTGCACACACATAATAAAAAATTATTTTTTTTCTAAAAAGAACATATTAAAATCTCATTTTAAAAAATAGGGGATAAGGCACATATCTGTAAGGGCACAGCTTTCTTTCTGGTTTTTGTTTGTTTGGTTTTTAGATAGAATCTCACCACGGAGCTCTAGCTGTCCTGGAATGCAATCGGTAGAGCAGGCTGGCCTTGAACTCACAGAGAACTGCCTCCCCAATGCTGGGGATTAAAGGCAAGGGCCGCTATGCCCAGACTTAATATCATTTTTAAATATATACATGCACCTACCCGAGTTTGTGCGTACCATGTGTGCAGGTACCTATAGAGGCCAGAGTATTTTAGAATCCCCTGGAGCTGGTGGTTGTGAGCTACCTGGCGTGGGGGCTGGGAACTGAACCCAGGTCCTTTGCAAGGGCAGTAAGCTCTCCTAACACCAAGCCCCTCCCCAGCTGCAGAGGATATCTTTCGAGGCTAGGTTCTCTCCTTTACAGGGGAGCAGGGGATGAATCTCAGACATCAGATCTGTGTGACGAAGTACTTTACTCATTGAGCCGTCCCTCTGGCCCACACAGATGCTTCTGCTTGCTCAGGTCTCTTACTGAAATCCTCTACAGCAGTGGTTCTCAGCTTCCTAATGCGGCAGCCCTTTAAAACAGTGACCACCAGCATAAAATTATTTCATTGCTGCTTCATAACTGTAATTTTGATACTGTTACGATCATAATATAAATATTTGATATGCCGGCTATCTGATATGCAACCCCTATGAAGGGTCGTTTGGCCCCTAAACTGTTCTGGGCCCACAGGTTGAGAATCACTGCTCTAGTGTATTTTTCAGTCATTATAATTTTCCATTTAAGGATATTTGTTTGGCTCCTTAAAGCTCCTCTCTACTGATATCCTCAAATTCTTCCTGCGTCATTCTCTTCTGAGTTTTAGTTTGAATTCATATTGGGAAGCACCTTCAATAATCAGCCCAGCTACACTATGGGGTAAGGTGGGAGCAGTCTTCCAACGCTTTGGAGGGATAGGGTCTCTCTACATAGCCCTGGCTGTCCTGGAACTCTCACTATGTAGATCAGGTTGGCTTCAAACTCAAAGATCCACATGCCTCTGACCCCAAAGTGCTGGAATTGAAGGTGTGCGCCGCCACATCTGGTTGAAGATGTCTTTTCTCCTTAGAGGTGTTAGGAGTTTATAATCTCTTACGCCCCCTGGTGTCAACTTCAGCCCAGCAGGCACTATGGCAGCAGGCTTTTGTTTCTGCTTATGCCAAATTACATGTCTGAGGTTTCTTGTTTTTTCCTTTTCGTTTCTTGAGACAGGGCCTCACTATGTAGCTCTGGTTGTCCTGGAACTCTATATGAGTTAAACCCATAGAGATCTACCTGCCTCTGCCTCTCACATCCTGGTAATAAAGGTGTGTGCCGATGCTGGGCTACACGCCTTCAATTAGGGTAAGCCTAGCCACACAGTTCGAGAAGAGAGGTGGGAGGGAACAGAGGAAGGAAAAAGGAAGGAGAGAGAAAGGGAGGAATGGCATATGAAACACAAGTGCTGTGCAAACTCTATAAGGTGCTCTGTAAATGCAAGGGAATCATCTGAGAAGTCTCCTACAATTTAGATTTATTAAATTACATGTATTTTGTGTGCGCGTGTGTGCACACACATGTGCTATGGTACAAATGAAGTTAGAAGGCAGCTTACAGGAATCAGCTTTCTCCTTCCAACTTGTGGGTCCTGGGGGCCAAACTCAGGTCATCAACTTGGGAGCAAGTACCTTTACTCATTGAGCCATCTTGTCAGCCAAGTCTTTATTGTTTTAACCATGTTTATAAGCACTGAGCGGTAGATTCAGTCTGTGGTCATGGCATTATGCCCTCTAGTATCTTGGACACGCCACTGTCTCCGGCAGTCTGCTTCCATTTTGTGAAATGTGGATATATTTTTACCTCTCAGGGTACCTTCATATGCGTGTTAAAATTCCTGGTATATATATATATCCCAGGGAGGCTGAGTGGCAGGACCCCATCTGCTAGATGAAGTGACAGGCCATACCATGCCAGCTCTGGTACCGGAATCACGTTCTGGTAATGGGGCACAAATGAAGAGCACTCCTTATCCCAGAAGGCGGGACCCCAGACTAACAGAAGAGATAGGAAGGGGTACCTTGTATTTGACAAAGGGAAGCTGGGTGGACACTAAACTTCCATGTGAGAAACTGCCATGTGAGACTATGCCTAAATCGGGAGACCAGGCAACCTTGTTGCCCGAGTCCTAGGGACGAATTTACTGCTATTAATGGCACACTATCATCCTGGGTTTTAAGAATTTTCCTGTTATCCCATTCCCAATCTCCTACTCCCTGCCACTGTCATTTTTCCCAGCCACAAAAGTTCAATCATAACCTAAAGTTTGAAAGGTCCTCATCTTGACACTGACTTCTGCCACACTAGCCCCCACCTCTAGGCCAGCCTCCTTCAGGGGCCAACAATGGAATAGCTGCGGAGGTCAGCGTCTACACGGGCCCCACCGCACACCCACTGGGTAACTTTCCTTTCGGTGGTTTCATCTTTCGCCCTCGAGGGTCTCTGTGGCAACCAAATGAGATAAAGAATGGCGGGTACAGCCCACAGCCTGTAGGGATGCTCAGCTAACTCATTCCCTTTCCCCTCCTCTAAAAGCTCCAGAGGATCGGCGGGTTGTCCTTCACATTTCAGAGGAGCCACCATCTGTCTCGGAATTCAAGTCCTTCACAGGGAGGCTGCCCTGGAACAGTCTCCCCAGCTCCCCACATAGCCAAATAAATACACATGTTCTTCTCATTGACGTGTTTTACTGGTGGTCACTGAGGAGTGAGCAAGTTGGGGTGAGGAAGATAGGTAACAGACACGGGGAGTGTGAGGGTCCCTGGACTCTGGATCCCTGAGGCTTCCTTTTCCTTCTTACTGACGGACCACAGGCCTCTTCTCAGACAGAGAGGCCCCTTCAACAGAGGGCCACGCCTCCCGGCCTAGGGCTCTAGAAGTTGTGTTGGATGAGGCACAGCAGGTAAGAACTCACAGGTCACTGCGGTGTACCTGAAGCTAGATGGCTTTAAAGGACCCGCAGACAGTGACGCCATCTCAGGCACTTCCCACAAAGCCAGGGGACTGCTGTCCCAAAGACAAGCACATGTCCTGAGCCTATCCCACTGTCTCCAACCCTGAGGAAGTGAAGACTGGGCACTCTGATTTTCCAAGGCAAGAAACTGCCTGGGAGGAGGCAGGATTCCCTGACTTCAAAGGCAACAAGGGACCATTCTACAAAGGGAAGGGTTTGCAGGCCAGGTGGCCACAGCAGGTCCTTAAGGCCTCCTTCTCCTATCGAGGTGGGCTCTCTGCTCTCCCCCACTCTCTAAGCAGGGCTCCCCTTTAGCTAGAATCTTTCTCATCCTGCTCGCCCAAGTGTGTCTTCTGGTGTCGGATGAGGTTGGAACTTCGGGAGAAGCACTTCCCACACAGGGTGCAGCGGTACGGCTTCTCCCCTCTGTGCGTCCTCTGGTGCGCACCAAAGTTGGAGATATCGCTGAAAGTCCGTCCACACTCAGTGCACTCATAGGGCCTCTCACCCGTGTGGGTGCGGTGGTGTACCCCAAAGCTGGAGCTGTTGCTGAAGCTCTTCCCACACTCACAGCAGATGTAAGGTGCCGGCTCCAGGTGGGTTCGGCGATGGACAGCCAGCGTGGCGCTCTGACTAAAGCTCTTGCCACAAAGGTCACAGCGGTACGGCCGCTGGCCCAGGTGGTCTTGCTGGTGAGTAGTGAGGTCTGAGCGCCGCCGAAAGCTCTCCTGACACTTAGCACACTGGTAGAGCTTCTCTTCCAGGTGGATTCTCTCGTGCCGGATGCGGTTGGAACTCCGGGAGAAGCTCTTGCCACACTCTGAACACTTGTATGGCTTCTCACCAGTGTGGATCCGCTGGTGTGTTCTCAGGTTGGAGGTGTTATTGAAGGTTTTGCCACACTGCACACATATAAAAGGCTTCTCGTCCACCTCTGGGCTTGAAAAGGCAATGGGGTTCCCAGGGCCTCCAGCTTGGGCAGTGACTTTCTGCCATGGCATTTTTGAATGTGTTCCTTGAAGACCCTTTGACAGACTCGCCTGCCCATGTTCCTCCCCAGACAGGATCTGAGAACCCTCTGAGTCATCCACTCTCCAAGGCTTCTCCCCTTCCCCTTCCTCAGGCAGGTGAGCTTCTGGACTCTGCTCTTTCTCACTGCCCATCTCTGAACCCTAGGAATGAACACAAATGGTCAACATCTTTAGTCCTTGTGTCAGGCCATCAGATCGGAGAATCTTGCATTCTGGTTGAAGCTTCCTCCCCCAGGAATAACCTCAACTCACTGGAATTCTTGTAGAAAGCCTTTTTATACTTCTCAACTTTCAAGTGATAAACTTCCACAGATATTTAGGGCTGCCCACCACTAATGGACATATTCAGCGCAATTTGAATGTCACTCTTAATACCATCTAGACTATAATTTATATGTAAGTAAAGGTGCTTCCATTTAGAGGTTAATTCACTTTCTTCCTGTCCAGTAGCCATCTAGTCACTGATTCTGAAATAAGCATAACTAGAAGTAGTTACTTACAAGGCCCAACTCTGAATAGTCTTACTGTCAGTTCTCCCTCTCTATCACTTACCATAATATACCAACCGGCTAATAAGACCTACTGCCTGTCATGATAGATCGATTAAGGCCGACTTCTGCACACAGACATCACACAGACTCACACACACACACACACACACACACACACACATACACAGCTACATTCTTATATGACACACAGCTATACCCACACCAAACACAGATATCAGCTAGATATACTATATACATTCATATCACGCATACAACCAACATACTAACAGCAGTCACACAGACGACATACACATCCTTACCAGATACAGCAACATAAAATATACACCCCCTGGAGTGAAATGAATAACAGAAGGCCAGAAGTATACCCAGATGCCTGTCATGCTTTCATGTTTCAACTCTCACCCACAATTCCTTGGAAATCTCCTGATGTGTGCCCACTTTCTCCTTTGTAACAGAATGTTATACTTATTATTGTAGTAACTTTGTACGGCTCAAAGCTTTTTGAATGCGAAAGTAAATGGATGAGAACTTTAATCTCAGCCCCTGCTGACTCTACATAGGACTTTAGGATCTATATACAAGGAGCTATGTGGCCTCCACTAATTTCTATTATTTATTTATTAAATATGTTTCTCTATGTAGCTGTGGCTGTCCTGGAACTCTCTATGTAGACCAGGCTAGCCTTGAATTCACAGAGATCTACCTTCCTCTGCCTCCCAAGTGCTAGATTTAAAAGCATGTGCCACCACACCCAACTGTACACTCTCTTTTAAAACTGTTGAGATCATATTTTACCAAGTATATATCCAAAACTGGATGCTGGGTAAATATAAAGAGTAAAAAGGGGCTGGAGAGATGGCTCAGAGGTTAAGAGCACTGGCTGTTCTTTCAAAGGTCCTGAGCTCAAGTCCCAGCAACCACATGGTGGCTCACAACCATCTGTAATGAGGTCTGGCGCCCTCTTCTGGCCTGAAGACATATATGCAGATAAGAACACTACACATAATAATAATTTAAAAAGAGTAAAAAGACTGTCAGGCATAGTGGCACATACATGCCTTTCATCCCACCACTTGGAAGGCAGAGGCAGGCAGATCTCTTTGCATTTAAGGACTGCCTGGTCTACATAATGAGTTTTGGAACAGAGTTCTGTCTCAACAAACAAGCAAACAAATAAATAAAGGACTGAGTTGGGTCAGTGATTAAGAGCACTTGCTGCCCTTGCAGAGGTCCCAGGTTCAGTTCCCAGTACCCATATCAGGTAGCTCATGTAGTTCCAACTAAAGGGGCTCCACAGGCACCTGCACGCATGTGGTGCAAATCCATTTACTCAGGTGCACACACACACACACACACACAACACATATCACACATATATATATAATACATTTTTTTTTTACACTGAGGTGGAAAAATGACTCAGTAGATAAAGACACAAGTGACCAAGCCTGAATCTCAGTTTGATCCCCAAGACACCATGGAAGGAGGCAGGAACCAACTCCTGCAAGGGGTTCTCTGATTCCCAATGCATACAGTGTCCAGTACACACACACACACACACACACACACACGAGTAAAGAAATGGGTTTTTTTCTTTTTAAATAGTAGAATGATTTCGGGTTGGATGATGGGATCGATGAGACCGGCTAGCTATGGTTAAAAGCACTCGCCACAGAAGCCTGACAAGTTGGGTTCAGTGCTGGAATCCACAGTAAAGAGAACTGACTGATCCGGATGCTGTCCTCTGACCTCCACACACAAGCTGTGGTGCCACTGCCACGCCCACTGAATAATAAATACAATTTTTAAAAAGAAGTAAGCTTATGATTACCACCCTCATACAGTTATGACACAATAGAACGAAGCAGATCGTGAACACAATACAGAACATTAGGTTCCAGCGAAGAGAGTGACTCAATCACATCTGGACCCAGTCTTCATGGCCCAGCACTGCACATGTAACATTTTCTGCTGTGGCGCACGCCTTTAATCCCAGCACTCGAAAGGCAGAGGCAGGCAGATCTCTGTGAGTTCGAGGCCAGCCTGGTCTACAAAGCGAGTTCCAGAACAATCTCCAAAGTTACACAGAGAAACTCTGTCTTGGAGGGGAAAAAAAAAAGGTAACATTTTTCTAAAGGTCCTACAAAGCACTAGACTACAGCCGAGCACTCCACATGCATCATCTCAATTCCTTTTTTTTTTTTGAGCCAGGGTGTAGACCAGGTCAGCCTCTGCCTCCTGGGCTCAACTATTCATTTTTCATATTTATTTTAGAAATGATGAAACTGAAATGCAGAGAAACTAAGTCACTAGCCCGGGAGCACACAGCAATTGAAAGCCTATACTCAGGCAAAACTGAAGCCTAGCCCCATCACTCCAAGCTGAAGTTTTTACACTGCTGCTGGAGGAAGAAAAGGAAGAGGGGAGGGGGAGTGCTACAGCAGCTAGGACCACACAGACACTTCAAGAGTGTCTCTGAAGAGGGCTCAGACGCAGCTTCATGGGGGAGGTTGTATTCGAACTATGACTTGCAAGATGAATGGATGAGCAAGACCAGAACTGGCAGGAACAGAGAGGGAGTCCATTACTCACTGAAAAGACAGTGCAGCTCAAATACAAGGTCATATTCACATTGCACTTCAAAGATCTGAGGAAGAGAGCTAGTGCATATTGGGTTTTCTTCCTAGGAGCTCAGCAGCACAGAGTCTGGAGCAAGCGAGCAGAGGAGGGACCAGTTCTAGGAACAAGCCAAGAAGACAGAGCTTGGTGATCACAGATGACGAAGGGATGAAGGATAAAAGCCTGGATTAGAGGGGAGACTCCAACCTGTAGCCTGAAAGATTAAAGTTCCAGATCTGGGTACAAGTCAAGGGCACCGCGAGTAGCGTGGAAGGACCAGGGGCAAGGTGTGGAGACTCACGGGAGCTGCATAGTGGATCAGAGATGGTACATCAAAGCAGCCTGAGTCTGACGTGGTCATGGAAAGGGGACAAAGGCTGCAAAAGTGTCCAAAGAGGCTGTCTGAGTGGGGAGGGCAGGGGAAAGTTGGAGGAGTCAGGGTACAGCGTCCTGGAGGGCAGGAGCTGGTTCAGAGAGGTCGAGGGGCTTGGAGCTGGAGGTGGAAGAGCACAAGGAGCGACCCTAAAGCACGTTGTTTGGGAGGAGCACGGAGTGGTCCAAAACCAACAGTAAGGGCGGGAGGGTAGGAAGACTCGGACAGGATCACGGCGAAGGGACATACAGCCCCCAGCGGCCTTTGGAACCCGCGAAGCGAAACAGCAGCTTCCAAGCCATTTGCGAGAGCGAAGCGGCCGCGCTCCAAGCGCCCCGCGCGTCGCGACCGCCTCCCCCCCACGTCACCTCAGCACAACCGCGACCCACCTCACTCCCGCAGCTCGGTCAGGGACAGCGCCGCCTGGGTGGGCGGGGGAAGGAGCCGGAGCCGGAACCCAGAAAGGACCAGCCTCCGCCGCGTCGGGATTGGATTCTGGGGACATCCTTTCTCTCTACGGCCAATAAACATTGGTCTAGGGCGCGGCATGCTGGGAGTTGTAGTCCCGAGGCGGTTTGCGTTGCTGCAAATATTTGCCCAGTTCAGAACACTGCTGTGAAGCTGTCTTCACTTCTAAGGTCACTAGGTTTCTTTTCTGTTTTACTTTTGAGTTGGTGGCCCTCGATAGAAGCCTCGTACTTCATTTAAGGTTTATAGTTTAGAATTAAAAGAGCATGTGCCTGGAAATAAGTTTAAAAATAAGTATTCTGATCTCTTTGTCCAAGAAGAGGAGTGTCCCCGTCCAAGGACTGACCTTCAGCCAGGTCAGCCAGGGGCCCAGTACAGGGATTTTCTGTGTCCTTTCATGATTCTCTGTTAACCCAAAAATCTCATCAGTCTGGATACAACAGACAGTTAAGTATCTAGAACTGGATTTTGGTTTGGGGATTTGTTTGTTTCTTTCTTTGTTGTTTGTTTGTTTGTTTTTGGGGTTTTTATTTTAAAAAAACAATAAAGATTAGGAGCAAAATAGAGTGTAGAGATTAACTGAATGTGTATGATAACTACACGCTTTTCCTGTATGGTCTTTCAGTGCCTGACTTTGGAGCTGGAAAAGGCTTAGGGCTAGAGATGGTTCAGTGGTTAAGAGCTTACTGTTCTTTCAGGGGACCCGAGTTCAATTTCTAGCATCCGCATCAAGGAGCTTAAAACCAACTCCAGATCCAGGCAATCCAATATCCTCTTCTGGCTTCCTGGGCACCTGCACATGAGTACACACACACATACATACACACACGCGCACACACACACACACACACACACACACACATCTGAAAAGAAAAAGAGATCCACAGACTTTATAATCCCAGTTCTTTCTTCTGTAAAACCCCTGACACAGCTATTGCAGAGACTGAATGAGTGACTAGACAGATAATCTCCTGCCTCCTCAAATAGCTCTGGTTTCTGTGGTGACTTCTCTCAAAAAGTAAGACCAGTGGGCTTAGTTTTAGGATTGACTATTTAGGCAGCTATGTTTGGAGCTGAAGATGTGTGTGAAATAAAAGTATTTATTATACACTATTAATGTATAAATTGGTAAAGATAAAACCTCAGAGGCAGACTCGGGAATGAAACTGGGTTTATTATGAACTGTGTCTAAAACTTGCTTGAACAGAGGCTGAGCTATTCAGGAACCAACCCCGTCATGTGTTTTCTCCACAGTTTCCTTCATAATGAAGACAACATGCTAAACAGTAAATACTCAAAGTGTATTTAATAACTGTACAACGACAAACAAAATATTCCTTTGAGGCTCTCTAATAGCAAGTTTTACATATCACCTTGACCAGGTCGCAATGTTCCCAGATATTTCGTCAGACATTATAATTGGTGTCCTTATGAGGGTAGTTTGGACAAGATTAACATTTAATCAGTAGATTGAGGAAAGTAGTTACCCTCGTTAATTCCAGTGGGAGCCATCCAATCAGTGGAAGATTTCAGAGCAGTTTTGGGGCCTGTCCGGCATTGGACAGGACTTCAGGTCTTTCCCTTGCCTTGGACTGAAATTAAAACATTGGCTCTTTCTAGGTCTCCAACCTGCCAACTTCAGTCTCATACGTATTCATTTTGTGCCCCCATTCTCCCAACCACTACACACACACACACACACACACACACACACACACACACACACAGTTGGCTCTGTTTCTCTAGGGAACCCTGACTAATGCAAGCTCTATTGGAAAGAACTTGTAACAGATCTAGTTCCAGAGGGGTCCAGCTGCCTTCTCACCTGCAAACTGATAGGAAGCTCCACAAAGAGGCTGCCTCACATACATGGGTATTACCTGAAAGTCCCTTGCCTTCTTTTTCTAATCCACATCCAAAAAAATAATGTGTAGTGTGTGTGTGTGTGTGTGTGTGTGTGTGTGTGCATGTGTGTGTTGATGTATAGTTACATGCAGTGAATTGAAGGTGCCCTTGAAAGCTGGAAGAGGAAGCCTCATCCTCTAGAGCTGGAGTTTCAGGTGGCTATCAACTGCCCAATATGGGGGCCAGAAACCAAAATCAGGTCCTCTGCAAGAACAGTGTAAGCTCTTAATCAACCAGTCTTATTTCCAGCCTTGAATTCATTCTTTTATTGCCTCACTATATAATCTTTCAAATAAGATGTCTTATTTGGTTTTGGAGTTTGGGGGGTTGGAAGAATTGAGACAGGGTCTCTCCATATACCTCTGGCTATCCTGGAACTCCCTATGTAGACCAGGCTGGTCTCAAACTTACAGTCATCCGCCTGCTGGGACTAAAGATGCACTTCACCATACCCAGCAATAAGACATCTTATTTTAAATAAGACCAACTTTCTTGAAATCAGTAATCTATGACCCAGAGGCTATTGTCGAGTCTTGAAGAATAATGGTCTTGTGGGTCTATTGTGGTGAGTGGCTCAAACTGCCACTTTTTCTCACTGGGCCTCTCTGAACTTCATGAGGTCTTCAGAGGGTCAGAGCCATAGACTGCAGAGTGATCCACAGCTGGACGCTCTGTTGACAGCTGTGTCTCCCAGCTCCATGCCTATGTTGAGGGTTTTTGGGGTATTATAGTTCCTGGTCATCATGTAGGTAAACTGATTTTGAAAACATGTACATTCTGGATGGCTCCCTTTCAAACTAGCTGTTGAAAGCATACTCCGGATGTCTCCAGGCTGTGCTGTCAACAGCGTGAAGAAAATAGAAAACAATGGGATTCTGACTCCTCTGCTCCAACCCTGAACAAAGAAGGGAGGATGTGAGATTCACAAGACATGCACTTGTGAAAAGCTGGCTCTGGGAGTTGGAGGCCTGAATTGGGGGCAGGGTTGGGGGTAGAGAAGAGCAGTCTTTGATTGAAGAAGTCAGGGTCTGGGGCTGTAGCTTCACTACTGAAAACCCATAGACGCTGTGAGAAGTTCCTGTCAGGATTCCCTCAGGTACAGAGCCTGTCCCCTGAGCCTGCACTGAACACTGCAGAGATACAGCCAACATCTCCTACTCAAACCTCCACTGAGTGAGCTCTTTTCATATTAAGAAGTTATCCACCAGGGCAATGGGAATGGTTAGCCTCCAGAAAAAAGGCAGCGTTCAGAATTTAACCCTGGGAGAAAGGTGGTACAAACAGAAACCACAGAAGGGTCTGGATTTGGGTCAAAGACCAGAGGTACTGGAGAAACAGATGCTGGGCCAGAAGATAGAGTCCAGGGTGCCAGGCTGGAAGATGCTCGTGTGCGTGGATCAGATCACAGGGCACAGCCCTACAGAGAAGGAGCCTTGAACCCCTGAAGGGCAGGGCCGAGGCTAGAGGGCCAGGTATCATTGACTGGGAAAAGCTCAGAACCCTGAGGAGACAGTAAGGACGGATTCACCTTCAGGGACACGTCTCCATTAGCACGGCTTTTTCCATCCTGTTTGGTGACAACCGATTCATCTGACTTCTGCAGTTCGGTACAAATAACTAGAGGTGCCGTGTTCCTCCCCTCATCGTGAAGACAAGGTTCAAAGAAAGGACGAAGGGGGCTAGAGAAACTGTGAGTGAAAGTAAAGATGTGGGACTTGTCAGTCACGTTGTAGAAGGAGATGACCCCTGCTTCGTAGTCCAAGAAAACCCCCACACACTTTGGAGACTCTTTCAGGCGGAAGGAGGTCTGCGGGGACGTGAGAGCTTCATACTCATTCCGACGGCTCTGCCGCAGGAGCCAGTGGCCATTGGCAGGTGAGGCCGTGACCTTCCCCTTCCTGCTCACGGAGTCACTGCACACGCCAAGGATCCATTTGGTCTTCTCGCCCACGTACACCTCCCAGTAATGACAGCCCGTGGTGAAGTACTCAGAGCCAAGTACGCTGACAACAAAATCAAACCTCTGAGGGTGGTCAGGAACGGACCGCTTCTTGTCGCCAAGCCTCACACATCTCCGATCCTCGGACAGGATGAGTTTGGGATGGGCCGTGTCAGGGTCCAGGGTCACCACCACTGTAGAGAGTTGGAGGGGAGAAGAGAAATTTATATCTTGAGGAATCTTCAGGTAGATTTGGAGGGGAGATACCCTGGAGGTCTGCAATCTGTCACTAGTCTGTTTTAGTTCATGGCTTTCCCCGACCACATCCACAGACGTACTGGAACCAGACTTTTAGCTTGCAGATGGAAAGCTTGCCTAGTGTGCCTGAAGCCCTAGGTTCCACTTCCAGCACTATGTAAAACAGGTGGGATGACGCAGTACAACGGTATTGGGGAGTGGAGGCTGGAGCATCAGTAGCTCAGGGTCATCCGTGGCCTCAGAGAGAATTCAAAACCAGCCGGCACTGCATTGGACAGCCTCAAAAAGGCAAAGCACAAAAAAAAAAAAAAAAATCTAGATTTGGATGTTAGACCATGTTCTGGTTAGCTTTTTGACAATCTAAAAGCATGCTAGACTCTAGTGGTTCTCAACCTGTGGGTCATGACCCCTTCCTTTGGGGGTTGTGTATCAGATATCCTGCATATTAGATATTTACATTCCAATTCATAACAGTACAAAAGTACAGTTATGAGATAGCAATGAAATAACTTTATGGTTGGGGGTCACCACAACATGCGGAGCTGTATATTAGAAGGTCACAACACTAGGAAGGTGGAGAACTGCTGTGCTAGGGTAACCTGGGGAGAGGAAAACTCGATTAAGAAAATGCTTCCCAGCCTGGTGGTGGTGGTGCATGTCTTTAATCTCAGCACTCAGGAGACAGAGGCAGGCGGGTCTCTGTGAGTTCGAGGCCAGCCTGTTCTGTAGAGCTAGTTCCAGGGCCAGCCTGATCTACAGCGTGAGTTCCAGGACAACCAAGACCACACAGAGAAACCCTGTCTCCAAAACAACAACAATACAAAACCAATGATGTCTCCATCATCTTTAACTGTAGGAAAAACTGTTGGGTTCATTTTCTTGTTTAATGATTGATATGGCAGGACTCAGCCCACTGTGGGTGGTGTCACCCCCTGGGCCGGTGGTCCAGAGTTGTATGAGAAAGCAGGCTGGACAAGTCACAGGGAGCAAGCCAGTAAGCCGCATGTCCCCGTGGTCTGTACTTTAGTCCCTGCTTCCAGATTCCTGTTTTGGGTTTGACTGATGATTAATCGTAAGCTGTCAGCCAAATATACCCTCTCCTCCTGTCTCAGTTACGGTTGCTATTGCTGGGAGGAAACACCTTGACCAAAAGGAACTGGGGAGAAAAGGGTTTATTTGACTTACGTATCCTGGGTCACAGTCCTCTGAGGGAAGCCAAGGAGAATGGCAGATTTGATCCAACTGTGCTGCGTAGTGACGCAACCACCACTTATAATAACATAAATTCACAGTCTGGATTCAAGTGGGACGGGATGAGAACTTAAGCGACAGAGTCTGAGAAGCATGGACTCTGGACTGGAAACCGGGGAGGCTGACTTAACTTACCGAAATGCAGCCGGGCTCTTCTCCAACCTGAAAGGCAAAGGGGGGGATTTGTTAAAGTGGAGTATGAATGGAGGCAGCCCGGAGGGCAGAGCCAAACCCAGAGTAGGAGCATCTCACCTGCGTTGGCAGCGGCTCTTTTCAACTCTGGGGGAGAAGAAACAAGGGATGAGCTATCTGTCACTGGACTTATGGGGCAAGAAATACGTTGGCATGGAAATTACAAAAAACATAGCAGACTTACTCAGTTCACTCCGGAGCTTCTCTGAAGAATAAAAACAGTTGGACACATCAGAACAAGGACCATTACCCGCTCGCTACGCTTCGGTCCCTCACATCCACATTCCCATAACAGATTAGAAGCAGCCGTGTCCTGGTACTTCCCCCATAATGATGCCTGCCATAGTGGCATGGCTCCCTGCTGTGGCCTAGGGATCCCCAGAGATATGACAGATGATCCCCAAATTCCTATGTGAGTCAATCCTTACCTTCAGGTACAATAAATATTACACTTGTAAGTGACAATGTAAGTGAAGTATGTGAGGATGTTATCGAATAAGATAAAAATTTATGTAAAACTGCTGCCAAGTCCCTATAAAATCTTATTAGCATGTGTATTTTCTCTGCGTAAAATATGTAGACATGTTGCATGCCTTCAGTTTTTTTGTCTTCTTGTTTTTTGGTTTGTTGGTGTTGGTTTTTGTTTTGTTTTGGATGAGGGTCTCACCATGTAACCCTGGCTGATCTGGAACTTGATATACAGACCAGGCTGGCCCCAAACTCACAGATTTGCCTGCCTCTGCCTCCTGAGTGCTGGGATTAAAGGTTTAACAACAACAAAAAAAAAAACCTATGGTTTTGTTGTTGTTGTTATTAAGTGTTAAAAGTTGTTTCCCATGGATGAAATGACTGAGAATTCAAAAGGCTGTGTCACATTCCAGAGGGGACACAATAGTCATAGGTCCTGACTAGGGAACACTATGCCCGGGTATAAGGACATCCCAGGGGCTTCACCTAAGAGAGGCACACATCTTGGTAAAACGGTTCCCATTCAAAAGCCACATAAGTGCTGTGTAGGAAAGAGAAACAGACAGCGCTCACAATGGGGATGTCGAGAGCCAGGCAACCCTCCTTGGTTTGCATTGCCCTGCTCCCCCTGCCCAGACAGTCACTGAGTCACTCAGCACGCAGCAGAGACAGTAGCAGAAAGACGTGGCACAAGGGAATGTGACAGAACTTACTGAGAGCTTTGTGGAGTCTTCCTGAAAACCAGAGAGAGAGAGAGAGGGGAGTGAGTGAGCTGATCCTTTACCACTGGGGCCCTGAAAGGCCCACCACTCCAACACACACCACCAAGAAAGAAAGGTCAGAGCTGCTTACATCAGTTCCTAATCCAATCCCTGGTTCTGAAGGTCAGACTTAAGAGTCCAATGGAGCTTGTGTAATTTTCCTGCTGGTAGCCCTCCCTTTGCTTCTCCTTTCCCTTTGTTTCTGTCTGGTCTCACTTCCTCTATTTCCACGTTAGTAATGCTAGGATGTGTGTGTGTATGTGCGCGTGCGCGCACACGTGTGCACATTCTCGTGCCTTACTGCCTTTCTGTAGTCTCCTGTTTACAGTATCTAAGGCCCATCACTAACTTACACACCGGAGTGAGTTTATAATTATCTCGAGCAATTCTCCAAAGTCACCGTTTTCACAATGCAGGGCCCCAGGAAGTTTGGAATATTTATATACTTCCTATGCATTGCAAGAGTGCTTCTAGCTTCTCTAGAGGGCCCACCCGGCCCGTATCATCCCCAGCCTAGCATTATCCTTGTCAGAGAATTGGAGCTATGCGTCTGAGTCCACCCAGCTAAGGAGTAGACCCAGGGGAGGCTCCTGGCTTGGAACAGTGATGCTGACTATGCCATAGCTTCTCAGGAGCTGAGGATGCATGACTGTCACTTCCACAACTACCTGCCTCCATTCACTGTGTCTTGCTCTTACACAGAGTGAGACCTGGAACCTCTTAACAGTGACATGCATGGAATTATTATTCCTGCTTTGAAGAAAATGGACTGAGGCTCAGAAGGACCATGAAATCTTCTTAAGGTCATCTATCGAGTAAGTGACCAAGGAGCGGGATTTGAACTCACGTCTGTCTGACTTCTAAGTCAGTGTCCCTTGCCATCACACAAGGCTGTCCCTATGTGTGCTGGGGCAGAACAGTCAGCCTGACTGTAGTGTATACTCCACTCTCCAACCCCAGGTCAGGGAGAAAAGACGTAGGATCCAGATTCTAACATCACTAAACTAGGAGCCATCGAGTCGGTGATAGATCTCCACAAGACTTCAAAAGCATGTCTTTTGACTTTTGTCCCCTGGGTGGACCCCAGCACGTGTTCATCCAATTAATGGTGACGAAGTGGCATTGAGAGAAAGGAATCCCAGACACTGTGACAGATCTTTTGAAAAGGTTTTCTCTTTTAACACTGGAATTTACTATCCCCGTATTACAGATGAGGAATCCAGAGTTCAGGGCAAGACTCAAAACTCAAGGCCACAATATGGGAGACCAGCAAGTTGAATCAAGTACGGCCGACCTCAAAGCCTGCAGCACTTCCATGGCGTGGCCACCACGGCTCTGCATATCAAGGTCATGTGGATCCCTGAGCTTCTCAGTCATCCCATGTGTCCTTGATCATATATCTTTCAGTCACAGACAGACCTCCTTTCCAGACACATGCATCTGGGCATTGGCATCTCCTCACCCACTGCCACCAACTCCATCGCCCCTCGACACCAGAAACTGAATTCTAGTGCTATGGAGGAACTGCTGGCATTTACTGCAAGCAGAAAGAATGCTATATTTGCTCCCTGCCTCTCACTCGGTACTTACCTTTTTCTTTGGCATGGTCTTCCAGAAGATTTTCTAGAGAAAGAAAAGGGAAAGCAGATAAAATTCTTGACCATTTCAATGAAAGGTTCTGAGTCCCTGTTGGTTTTTATCAGCTCTTGAACTGCCCCCAACTCTGCCATCTTCATCTCTGCCCCTCCTGATCCAGCCCGTCATCCCTCTTCTGAACCACAAAAACGGGAACCCAATTTGTCTGGCATGTTCTGTCTTACTCCTCTGGTCTCTTCACAACCCAGTAGCCAAAGAGCCCTCTTCAGAGCACGATTCTGATCAGGAGGTCCCACTCAGTGCTTTACCTCTGGTTTTAGGAAAAAGACTGAGTTCCTCCATCAACACAAACAGAAGGTGGTGGAACTTTCAGGTACAAATGTGTAGTTCTGTGAGCACTGGAGATACAGAAACCAACAAAACAAAAATATGTGCCCCACCCGTACCCAGAACACTTACCTACCTCCATCGCCTGTTCGTACAGAAGCTTCTCTGGAAAGGAGAGAGGGGAGAGCAAGCTCAGCTTAGGAAGCATTTTTTCCTAACACAGTGTTGCCCAAACATGGCCTAAGTCGGCTAATTAGGATTGACCCCTTGCCAATATAGGTGCATGGCCATTTGAAAAGATCAGCGTCTTCACACCACCAAATGGGGGAAGAAATGTTGGGTTATGTAACTTTCCAAATCCTTTGCAATCAAGAGCCCAAGAAATGTGATCATTTTCATGAGGGTTTTATCCAAATGGATATAATTGGATTTCCTGATTAGAAGGCTCTAATTTCTTAGTTAATTAGAAAGCTGCCAGGGTTGGCTGCTGTCTAATTTCTCAAAGGGTGAGAACTCACAGCTCTACCCAGGCCTCTCCGCAGTCTACTGCATTCCCTCTGCCATGTGTGAGTCCCTGGTTTATGATTATCCCAGTTTTCAACTTGCGGGGTCTCTCACCTCTGGCAGATGCCATGCCCACATCTGCTTCTGCTAGTCTTTCTCTAGAGCAGTCATGGTCTCCCACAGCCCGCGTACCCTCACACCCTACAATCACTGTCCCCACAGCTCCACCACCAAGTTACCTTTTGATCTTTTTTGTTTACAGATGAGCCAAATGCCAAGAAGGATAAGGAGTCCCAAGATAGGCAGGACCACAGAGAGAGCCACCGCTGGAGAGGACAGACTTCCAGGAGCTGGGTCTGAAACAGAGACCACCAATGACCACCCTCAAGGAGACGTCTGAGAGCAGCTCTCTGCCTCAGAGGGTAGGGGGCTCAGGCATACCCAACCATCTCCATCGGCTCTAGGGAGAACCCTGCCGAGACTGATGAGGCTCTTTGCTTCCCTTGTTAACTCAAACTCTGGGTGACAAAGAGAAATGGGGTGTTCGCATCTCATGAAGACTTCTTAACCACAAGTTCACCCTGTCTTCTAACTCTTTGGACAAATACTCCAGACACATCAAAGTCCTGAATGTGTACTCCTTAACAATTCCCAACAGTCCCTCATGAGTCCCGCCTGCCTTTTCCTCAAACCCTTTCTGTTGTGCAGCCACAGACTTGGCTACAACAATGTGTTCCAGGCTGCCCCTCTGCTCCACCGTCAGCAGTGGCAACACAAGGTCTATGGACCACAGCCGCAGGCCTGGAGCTCAGACAGGAAGGGGAAAGGAGTGCAGAGGGTGGGACTGCATGTCTGTGACCCCAGGAGGCAGGACAGGGAAGTGTGGAGCTGTGAGGAGTCCCAGCTGGCCGTCCATCCTTGTTCAACTGTCGGGAGGCCCTAGGCAAGAGACCGAGCCTCTACCAACCTGGGCTAATTCATCTGTAAAATGGAGCTGGTAGGAGTCTTAATTCCCTGGGACTATGTGGGAGGGGAAGGATTTAAATAAATCACCTTAAACTCTTATCAGCTAGTGAGAGGTGACGGCAGCAGTAAGAGGGGAGGAGCATAAAGGGAGAATGAAGAAAAGGATTGGCAGATGTCCAGGAGGCTTCTCTACCAACTTATTTTATCACGTGACTCCGTATTTCAAGGATATTTCAAAGCTTCACACTTTTTAACCCAGCAGTTCTATTTTTTTAAGAATGTGTTCTGAATCAGCTCCCAAATAAGCGTGAAGATGTCCACCGCACCATTAGTTATCAGATGGGGGCGGTGGGGGAGAGTCAGGAGATTGCAAAGCATAGGGAGTTCCACAGACAGACTTCCGTTACTTTGTTTTGATCAATAGCCACATGATGGAATTTGATGCCTCCCCAAAAATCAATTTATGAAAAAACACTTAAGAATTAGACAACAAATAGCTTATGACTTGAGAAGTGAGAAAAGAAATGAGAAACAAATATGCATACACACAAAGAAGCATGGACACACTCCTCGAGGGCATGTAAATGTAGGTAAATCTTGAGAACAAGACCCCCAAAACATTAGCAGTAATTCTCTATGATTTATGAGATTCTACACCATTGTTTTTGAGTTCTCTAAGTGTTCCACGTTTTTCATGTTTATTTTTACAATACACATTCTTAGAGCTATAATATAATTCATAGAACAAAAAATTGAAAAAATTAATTTAAAATTTTTATTTGTATGGGTGTTTGGCTTGCATATATGTCTGTGTAGCATGTGTGTTTCTGATACCCCAACCACCAAGCCATCTCCCTTCCCCTGAAAAGTCTTTATAAAGTCCTCACAAGGTAGAGTCTCCTCCAAGCTCCTCAAGAGCCTCAAGCTGATTTGCACCCCTGCATTACCTTCAATAACCATGGCTGTGGTCTTCTCTTGGCCAAGGACCTCATTACGGACAGTGCAGGACACATTCCCCAGAGCGCTGTCCCTGATGCGACTGGACACTGCTGTTCGGAACAGCCCAGTTTCATCCAGGGAGTGGGTCTCTGAGAGCGACAGGAGCACTCTGCCCTGAGCGTCTCTCCACTCGGTCCACGGCTTTGGGAACCATCCTATTGACCAGCACACCAGCTGGATCCAGCCAGCATCATAGCCCTTCACGTGGATGAAGGGATCAGAACCTGAAACTAAAGGGGACAAACTGTCTGGTTGAGGCAACCCAACTCACTGGCAGGGAAGTGGTGGCAAGGGTACGGTCCTAGCCGGTGTCCTGCCCTCCACCCCTTCCTCTGATGGACAGCTGTTACTAGAACTCTCGTTCCTGCCTTCCTTTTACTTCGGCGGGTCTGACCACCACAATGGGATAAAACAGTCAATCCAAATGAAGTTCAAGATCCACTCATAACAACACCAGTACCACACTATTCTGTTCCTTTGGGCACCTCAATCCCTGTTTGAAAGGTGATTTGCTGGGTTGGAGAGATGGCTCAGAGGTTAAGAGCACTGACTGCTCTTCCAGAGGTCCTGAGTTTGGTTCCCAGCAACCATATGATGGCTCTCAACCATCTGTAATGAGATCTGGTGCCCTCTTCCGGACTGCAGGTATACATGTAGACAAAACACTATATACATAATAAATAAATAAAATTAAAAAAAAGAAAGAAAGAAAGGTGATTTGCCAACCCCCGGCCAAAGGACTCCATGACTGGAAAAAATCTCCCAACTACTATGTGTTTTAAATGAATTCATCCCTCTTACGTAACTAAGTGATATGCAAAGATGATCAGGGTTGGAGAGATGAGTTGGCTCAGGGGCTAAAAGTACTGGCTGCCCTTCCAAAGGACCCACCACCTACATGACAGCTCACAACTGTTTGTAATTCTAGTCCCCAGGGGATCTGACACTCTCTTCTGGGGTCTGTGGGCTCCAAGTACCTATGTGGTAGACGGATATACGAGCAGGCAAAACACCCAAACACATAAAATAAAAATAAAAAATCTTTGAAAAAGATTGTCAGTGGTAACCCCATGGACGGGCCTGAAGTGAGAGCAGAGACTTGGGCTGGGTCTGCGGTAGACTGATTTTATAAAAACACTGAAGCTAGTTTGAGGAACAGTCTCTGCCTTCTGGCTCTTTAAATACTCAAGAACCTGGAAAAGGACTGTGAAACAATTCCTTATCACAGCAGGGAATCCTAGCCCTTGAGGACTTTTCCTTGCAGCCCTGGTTGTGAGTTTCTTGGTCATGAAACAGAGAAAGCTGAGCCTGTCGGACACCGCCAGCTTGTGTTTATCTGGGTCCTGCGCTGTACAGCGTCTTCCAAAGCCCAGGTTTCTTCCCCTCCCAGGACGAATCACCAGTCAGGGCTTCATTGAGATGGACAGACCCGGCTAGAGAAGACAGAGCTGACAAAGCGATTGCCACAAATGACCCAGGCCCCTCCAGCCCATCCTAACCTGCCACTTGCAGGGTCACGTTGCCCTCTTGACTCTGGTTTCCGACCCGGAACTGGCATTGGTACGGTCCTCGGTCCTCGAGCCTCACGTTACTGATATGCAGAATGTAACTTTGCTTGTGGGTATCTCTCACCAGCGTGGTCCTACCCTTATATTCTGGTATCAGATCTTCATCACTATCCTGCCCATCCCGAAGCACGTGGACAGCCTGGGTGCGAGGCAGGTGTGCAGGCCGTTGCCACCTCACCTCGCTGAGCACCATGCCTGGCCAGAGCAAGAGGGGGCAGGGCAGCTCGGCTGTGCCCCCAAGTGGGACCAAGTAGAACTTGTCAGTATTCCCTGTGGAACAGATACCAAACAGGGAGAAGGACGCTGAAGAGAAGGCTTGGGGATGGGTGAGAAAGGGGAGTTTGTTAAGGAAGGGTAGAGTCTGGGAAGGACAGTAGACAACGGAATCCAAGAACCAAATTCCAGCGCCATGCCTCATCCTGGTCAGACCTCCCAGGCAGAGAAAAATCCAAAACTCCTACCTGACACCTGAGCAGGCAGCTGGAGGAAGGCTAGAGTGAGGAGGCCGCTGAGGAGCCGGGAGCCAGAGGGACTTGGTGGTTTCTCCATATGAACTAGGACAGACACCGGAAGAAGACTGATGAACTTGAGCGGAGGAACCTAGGAGGTGGGGCCGAGACCCAGGTCACATGTTCCATCTAAGGAGCAAGGACATGTACTTCGAAGCCCAGTTTCACTACCCACTCCCTCCCGACACTACCCTTATGCTCGTGTGACAAAGTGACTAAAATTCTCAGAAACACTTTCTTTTCTTCATCCTTAAATACTTTAAATTGTATGTATATGAGGGGAGGTGTGTATACCACGTGAGTGTCGGTGCCCTGGGAGGCTAGAGGAGGGCATCGGCTCCCCTGTTAACAGGAGACACTGGTGGTTGTGAGAAGCCTGTTGTGGGGACTGAGAATGGTCCCTAGGAAAAGCAGCAAGTACTCTTAACTGCTGAGCCATCTCTCCAGCCTCCCTGATGCCCTTTTAGGTTTATATATAACCAACAGAGGCTTCCAAGTCCACCGTTTCATCATGAAGACACTAATCCTTCAATCAGGCACTGGGAGTTGAATAAGCCTGGGTTCAGGTCTCACCTATTTTCACTTGCTAGCTCCACATCTCTAGCAAGGTTGTGTACTATCTGTGATTCCACGGTCTTAGTCCATGGGGGAAGGGCCTGTCTTCACACGTAGGCGGGAGGACTTAATACCTAGATGCCTGGAGAACAAGTGCATGATAAATGTGTACTGAGCGAAAAGGAGATAATCATAACTCAGAGGTGCACTGTGTGCTCTAGCAGCTGGAGACCTCGGAGGGCTCCCTAGTAAAGCTCCGCCCACCCACTTGCTATTGCCCAAAATGCCGTTAGCAGGAAGAAGAATCTTTCCAGCCACACTAAGGAAAATGTTGAAAATGCCAACACTCTAGGAGGGGAGAACACTCCCAAAGTCTCTCCAATATTTCACATCCTTTGTATCACTTTGGTTACTGGAAAACAGTCTGGAGGGGCTGGAGAAATGGTTCAGCTGTTAAGTGCACTGCCTGCTCTTGCAGAGAGGACCTGGGTTCGATCCCAGCACCCACATGATAGCTCACAACCATCTGTAACTCCAATTCCAGGAGATCCAATGCCCTCTTCTGACCTCCACAGGCACTAAACATGTACTTGTCATACAAACACTCATACAAACACTCATACACATAAAATTAAAAAATCTTTTTAAAAGCATAAAACCATCGTGGCTTTGGTACCTGATGTTTTCCAGGAATGTTGCATCACACACATTTTTCATGCCACCACGTATTCTTTTAACAGATTCAGTGTTCCAACACAGACCTGTGGGAATTTTAAAAAATAATTAAATATGGTAGGTTTCTTAAACATTGCTACAAATGACAGTGGGTTGGCGGCTGGAAGTAGGAGGCTTAGTCCTAGGGGTAGCAGTGCGGTCTCCAACTTAATGAGACTCTGAGTAAAGGGAAGCTGCTGAAACTCTTAGGCCTTGACTTTCCTGATTTTAAAATGGAAATGGCTTACAATTTCATCACCAAATTGCCCTAAGGAAAGGTCAAAGCAAATTAATTAGTTAATTAATTTTCTTGTTTTCCTACAACCCTGCCTTCAGTAGAATGTATCAACTTTTTAAAGTTTTTACCAACTTGATAATGAAACTGTATTTCATAGAATTTGATAGTTCCTTGTACTAATCTGTATTTCTTTGATTATTTATTTATTTGATCCTTGTCAATGATTTCCTCTGTATTTTGCTGGGGTTTTTTTTGTCTTTGACACATTTGTCTTTTAATGGCTTGCAAAATTCTTCATATAGTAACCATTTTCTTCCCATGATACAAGTTGCAAGTATTTTCCCCCAGAGTCAGTTACATTGTAAGTCTGAACTAGTTTGATTTTTGAAACTTCTAAGGCAGAAAAAAAAGAAGGAGAGGAGGAAAGGATCCCAACAGACATTCTTTGCCCATCTTGAGCAGTTTAAGAAGATCCCGGGTATCTATAACTTCACAGTCACCCAGTTCAGGACCCAGCAGATGGTGAGGGCAAACTGCAGGCCTGCTGAAGTATTAATAGCACTGCAGTGTTAAGTAAGAGTCTTCAGACAAAGCCACCTGTCATTCTTGTCACCTGCTGTACTGGGGGCTCCTAAGTGACAGCTAACCATTGTCCCATTTTATCCTTTAAGATGTTCTTTGTAGCTGGGTGGTGGTGGCACGTGCCTTTAATCCCAGCACTCGGTGGGCAGAGGCAAGCTGATCTCTGTGAGCTCGAGGCCAGCCTGGTCTGCAGAGCTCGTTCCAGGACATCTAGGGCTCTTACACAGAGAAACCTTGTCTTGGAAAACACAACAAAACAAAGATGTTCTTTGTAAAAGGAAAGATTATTTCTCTACATTCATGAGCTTGACGATACTGAGAAATTTAAAGAACTAGACAGACTAAGAAAAGAAGGGAGACGGGAGAGAACTCACCACATTTGGGATACGGGATCTTTGTCCTTTAGTGGAAAAGCTGGAGCCTCCTAGCTGGGAATACCATCTCCCCACAGGCAGGGTGATCCAACATCAGCCAAGAATGCCAGGAACATCCCAAAAGATGGGTCTGGGAAAAGTTCATGTTCTAGACTGATGACCAGAGCCTCAAAGCCAAGACCTCCCTCTGCCCCACAGATGGCCTTCTGGCGGTCCCTAAAAACAAACAAGCCACGCCCTGTCTGCCCATCCCTGATAAAGCAAGGGTGTAGAAAGGAGAGGCTCCCCAGCAGCGAGGGAACTGTCTACTGTCGTGGCAAAGAAAGGACTTTTCCTCCAGTGCCCGGTACAACAGTGACTCCTGCAATTTGACCCCATCACCACTTTTCTTAAAAGCTTGCTCTCTCAACCAGTACAGATGAGAAGATCCGTGAATGGAACTGGAGCCTTTTATGTAAAGGGAAATTAGGCAGACTCAGGAAGTCAGTACTGCTCATTCCCCCCTATGTGTGGGATTTACATTTAGAGGGTGTGTAAGTGGGGGGGGGGTGGCAGGGGTCACGAAAGTAGACAGGATTCCATGAGAAAGAAGAAAGAAACCATAAACCGCAGGGGGGAAAGCAAAGTAATACAGGCAATATGAAAGCAGAGAAGGAGGGAGAACTGCAAGAAGGGAACAGGAATATGTGGGAAGGTACTGGGAGAGGGGGTGAATGAGGATAAATTGTAATAACATATACATACGAAAATCCCATGAGGAAGCCCATCACTCTGTGTGTTAACTTCAACTAACTTCAAAAATTAGAAGGCAGGCTTCAAAACACCCACCAATCAGCCATACTCTTTAGCCCACGGTTTTATCTGCAGCTACACCTTGATGCAGGCTTGCAGGCTTTCAGACGAGCAAACTTGCTTCCTGCCCCTCCTGTGTTACACCCTTCCTAACTAGCTTACCCTCAACTGCCCAGGACTGTATTCATTGCCATACAAGCTATGCCCTTTGACTTTTATGAAGATGTACTGGTCATACAGACGTCCCTGGGGTTTCTTTTTCTCAGTCAACACTGGGTTTTGAGTCTAGCAGATGTCGGTTGTGGCCTGCACTGGGTCCTCTGTTGAGGGCTGATCTGTCTCCCAATTTCAGTGTAGCTGAGACTTGTCAGCAGGCAGTAGGGCCCCAGCAGCTCTTTGCTTACTGTCTGAGAGTCTATACAAAGGCTCAGCAGCCTATTTAGTCTGTGGGCATCCCTCTTGTTTACCATACGTCGTGTTCTAAGGAATCCCAGGAGCAGTTCTGAACCATCTTTACTACAAAATCCTCCAAGATGCCCCACTGGAAACCTAGACACAGGAAACCCTTTTCTTCTCCTGGATATCCACCTGAAAATTCTCGTGTTGAAGGGCTTGTCTCACACTCTGCTTTGGGTATGGAGTGGTGTAGTAATTAAGACACTGGAATTCATCCATCTGACAAGGCTCTAGGTTTCCTCTCTTGCACACACACACACACACACACACACACACACATACACACACACACACACATATACTCCTTACACATTCATCGCTCATTTGTGTTAGGAACCTTCAAACTCCTCTCTTTTGAATATATAATAGATTATTATAAATGTTCTCACCCTGAAACACGACAACTTACCTCTCCTATAGACCTATGTATTGGCAGTCATAATCAGCCTTTGTCTCTGCCCCTTCGCCCAAGTTTTATTTGTCTTATTTTTAGACAACATCTCACTACATAGTCCAGGTTGGCCTCAAACTTGTAATCCTCCTACATCTGCCTCTTGAGTGGTGGGATTACAGCCAATCACAAAATCAGGCCCGACCATGCTTCTTCGCTTTAAGGGGTAAATGGACAGAGTTCTGGACTTCCAGCTAAATAAATATGGTTTTTTGAGCACTTCCCCAGCCCCCTAACTGCTCGACTTTTAAAAGGATATTTCTTGTCTTTTCTTCTCTATTTGAGACAGAGTTTGCTGTGTAGTCCAAGCTGGCCTCCAACTTGAGATCCTCTTGAGTGCTGTGGTTACAGACTCTCATCCCAGCACCTGGCTCTTGTACTTTCTCCTGGTTGATGATGTATAAATATCCACTGTTGAAATTTCACAAAATACAGAAAAACGTAAACAAGATTAATATAATCCCTACTAATAAAACAAAATATATTAACAACTTTGGTAAGCTTTTAAATCCCATTTTCTGTTTTGAAACTATAAAACAAATACTGTGGTTAGACAATATATGTTCTTTGTGTCTTTGAAAAACTTAATATGCTAAAGCACTGTGTGTGTGTGTGGGGGGGGAGAGAGAGAGAGAGAGAGAGAGAGAGAGAGAGAGAGAGCAGAGAGCAGAGAGCTATGTCAAGTGTCTTCCTCTATTGAACTCCACCTTATATTTTGAGACAGTCTCTAACTGAAGCTGGGCCCACCGAAGTGCTTAGGTTGCCTGCTTGTCATGCTGTAGGGACTTGTCTGTTTAGAAAGCATTTTATTATGTCATAAAACTTTCTTCTATGCCATTTTAATGGTTGTCTTGAGTTTTACTATAGCTACCCTTTCGTCCATCCTTTTTGTCTTTGCTTTGAAGCAGGGTCTTTCTACATAGCCCTGGCTGTCCTAGAACTCACTCTGTAGACCAGGCTGGCCTACCTTTGCCTCCCAAGTGCTGAGATTAGAGGTGTGCGCCACTATGCCTCGCTCTTTCATTCATCTTAACTCCAATGATAAAACGTTGGCTGTTAGCCCAGCAGTGGTGGTGCACACCTTTAATCCCAGCACTCGGGAGGCAGAACAGGCTAGCCTGGTCTACAGAATGAGTTCCAGGCCAGCCAGTGCTACACAGAGAAACCCCATCTCAGAAAAAAAATTTAAAATGTTGGCCGGTGTAGTGTTTTCCCCTTATAAATACTGCTATTTCTGATTATTTACTTAGGACAACTTCTTAGAAGTGAAACTGCTTAAGATGGTTGGAGTCAAGTCTTAAAGCTGGGGTAAAAGCATTTTACCTTTTTGCTCCCCTCTGGGAGGTGTTGAGGATTGAATTTAGGGTCTCACACACACTGTGGCAGGTGCTCTACCACTGAGCTGCATCCCCAGCCCTTCTCTTACTTTTTTTTTAAATATTTATTTTTTTATTATGTATACAATATTCTGTCTGTGTGTTCCTGTAGGCCAGAAGAGGGCACCAGACCTCATTATGGATGGTTGTGAGCCATGGTTGCTGGGAATTGAACTCAGGACCTTTGGAAGAGTAGGCAATGCTCTTAACCGCTGAGCCATCTCTCCAGCCCTCCTCTTACTTTTTTAAGACAGAGTCTCAGTGAGGTGCCCTCGGCTGATCTTTAACTCACTCTGTACGTAGACCACGCTGACACTCAACTTGTGATTCTCCTGCCTTGGTTTTTTGGTCGTTGGGATTAGAGGCACAACATTTCAGTCATTTAAAGTCTATATACAAAAATATTACATTGCTAAACACTAACTCTCTAGAATTTTGTCTGGCAAAATGAACTCTATACCCATAGAACAATAACTCTCCTTTCTACTCTCCCTCATTCTCTGGTAACCACTCCCCACACACAACCCTGGCAGTCACCCCCAAACCCCTGCCCCAGCTCCTGGCCCTTTCTATTTCTTAGAGTTTGACTACTTTTGATACTTGTATAAATGGAAACAAGCAGTAATTAATGTGTGTGTGTGTGTGTGTGTGTGTGTGCAATCATGTGATTATGCCTGTTTTTAAGGTTTTAAAATCTAATACAGAATTGGCCTCCCAAGAGAATATAATAACTCACACTTAGACTGAAAGTACCTGAGAGTCCTTGTAGACTCCCCACTGGGTGCTTAATGTGTAGGCCTGGGAGGTCTGGAATTTGCTAGGTAGACCAGACTGACCTCAAATACACAGAGATCTGTTTATCTCTGCCTTTGGAGTACTGGGATTAAGTGTGCACTGTCATGCACAGAAATCCTTACCACTTTGACAGAAGAACAAAGAAGCAGATCTGAAAGGATCTGGAGAAGGGGGTGTCTGGAGGCACCATGTCAGGCAGGAAAGGTGGCAAAAAGAAGCCCCTGAAACAGCCCAAGAAGCAGGCCAAGGAAATGGACGAGGAAGATACGGCTTCCAAGCGGAAACAAAAAGAGGAGCAGAAGAAACTGGGGGAGCTAAAAGCCAAGGCCATGGGGAAGGGACCCCTGGCCACAGGTGGAATTAAGAAATCTGGCAAAAAGTGAGCTGATCCTCATATCTGAGATGATGGTGACCCTCTTCCATTCCTATTTAAACATCTGGATTCCCTGCCATAACATCTTTGCCATCTACGGCTAGAATGAAGTGTTATCCTGGAGCCTGTTAAGCATCTGGATTCCCTCCTATAACATCTTTGCCACCTATCGTTAGAATGAAGTGTTATCCTGGAGACTGTTGTACATTGTAAGAAACTTTCATAAAAAATAATAATAAAATAAATAATACAATGGCTCATTGTCTCTAGTGTTCAGCAGTTCCTACCTCAGCTGTGGATTTAAAGCAAACCCAGTCTGGAATCCTGCCAGAGCCTGCTGCTTCGTCTTTGTTGTACTCTGAATTCCGTATCACTTTGAATTAAAACAACTCATTCAAAGTCAAAAAAAAAAAAAAATCAGGTCTGAATGTGTCTCCAGAGGTTGCTGTCCTCTGAATCCTGTCTAAAACACTTGCTAGATGGGTGGCCTTAGACAAATTACTTAACCTTTCAATGCCTGTTCCTGCATAAAATGTGCACGATAGCTTATTGGTACATGTCTATGAATACATCCTTATTATGAGGACTAGGGACTTTAATGTAATGTTCTGAGAAGAGTGCCGGGAAGATAGGAAGACCCAAAGGGAAGCAGCTGTTATTATTACTCTGGATCCTCCTCTATCTTCTCTTCTTTAGTCAATTCTTGCTAATAAAACAAATGAAACCAGGTCTGAATGAGCATGTGATCAAACCGGACTCTCTGATTGTGGCTGACAATGGGGGCTGACTGAGAAGCCATTGATAAAGGCACTGGGACTTGTTTTTACGGCATGTTCTGGCTTTTTGGGACCCTAGTCTATATGGATGCACAGTTCCCTAGGCCTGGATGTAGTGGGGAGGGCCTTGGACTTCTCACAGGGCAGGGTTCCCTGCCCTCTCTCAAGCAGGGTGGGAGAGGGAGGAGGGGGTGTGGGAGAGCGGGAGGGGATTGGAAGGAGGGAAGGAAGTGTAAATAATTGAGTGGAAAAATAAAAAAAATAAAAATAATAGCTAGAAATTTTATTTTACACCCTTTTGATTATCCATGGTGTCTCTCTCTTTCCATTCCTCCCCTCCCCGCCTCATAGAGACCCTCGTGCCTATGCCTCCCCGGTGCTGGGATTAAAGGTGTTGCACCACTAGGCCTGAGTAGGGGCCCTGTATTTAAAATCTTTTTTTCAAAGTTTTCAAAGCATGGTGGCAAACAGAATACCATTTAATCCTCTTTAAAAACCTGTAAATTAGGAAGGAAGCAATCAGCAATCCTGACTTTTTGGATTTAGAACCTGATGCTCAGAATTCCAGTGCTAACCAATTCCAATCCCAGGAATCACATTTCGCCCTTCAAAGTCTTGCAGTTGTCCCAGAAACTAGAAGCAGGGAAAAGCTTTGGTTACTTGTTTGAACGTCCCTGCCACAGGTCCTTCCCCTCCCACCTCCAGGTCCCGCCCTCCAGTCACAGACCCCGCCCTACCCGCCTCCGACTCCGCCCCTCTCGGTCTGGCCACGCCCAGGTGAGCTCTCTGCGCGCGCGCAGTGGCTCCTGCGGGAGGGACACCTTAGGCCGCGGCCCCGCCCTCCCCGGCGCGGCCCGCCCAGTTCAAGGGCAGCGGAGCTGGGTGCTCCGGTCCCGCGGAAGGGGAAGGCGAGGCTGATCCCCGCGTGGGGGCTGGTGTGCGACGTGGCGGAGGCCGGGAGCCCGAGACCGGGTAGGGAAGGGCGCGCGGACCCCCGAGCCGCCATCTTGCTGCGGAGGGGCCGGGAGGCCGGGAGGGCGGGGCAGGCTAGGCTGAGGGCGCTGCTGCGGACCGAGTTGCTTGCCCCTCGGCCTCAAAGACCCAGCCGTGGCGCACGCCCCCGGGTTGGAGCTACTTTCTCGGTCCTTTTCATCTGCTGCTCACCCGGTGTTGGTAGGGAAAGGCCCAGGAAATGTCTGCTGTCCCATTGTGCAGGAAACTGAGACTCCGAAGTGAGGAGACTCGGCTAGCAACACACACCGAGGTGCTGGCAGTGGGACTCCAGGGCACCCTGCCTCGCTGCCAAGCGAGGGAGTTGGGAGAAAGACTAGCAAGCCCCTTCTCTTTTTGTACCATTAGGTCAGAGCTGACCAAAAAGCATTCAGAAGCCAAGCCATGGATCCACCTGCCCGGAAAGAAAAATCCAAAGTTAAAGAACCTGCCTTCAGAGTGGAGAAGGCTAAGCAGAAATCTGCCCAGCAGGAGCTGAAGCAAAGACAAAGAGCAGAGGTGAGACTAAGGAGGGGGCTCACTGTCTGTGTCAGCTGGAGAAGGTGCTGGAAGAAAACACAGCAGAGAAAACTTTGCTAGGGGTCCCTGCTTGTTTCCAGGCAGGACATTTCTGGGAAGAGAGACCATCGAGGTCTAGAATGGTGAAGTGGAAGCTGAGAGTCACAGGCCAAGTTAGTGTCAGGACCCCCACCTGTACCACCAGGTCTTTAGGTGACTCCTGGCACAGGGCTTTTGTGCTAGGGATCTGAGGAACGCGTGAAAAGAAAAAACGGCCGCAGATGAAGGAGGAATGGGGGACAGGGGAGAATATGAATAAATGAATGGATCGGAATTCATGAAATGCCTGTGTGTCCTGTGACCTGGCTACACATGTGCATTTGGTGAAAAAAAGTAACTAGTTAGTGGGTGAGTGCCTGCCGCAGAACCCTGACTACCTGAGTCTGCTCCCCAGAATCCGAATATATGTAGAAGAGAAGGACTACAGGAAACTGTCCTCTGACCTCCACATTGCTGTGGCATGCACAGACACACACACCACCACCAATTTTTAAGTGTCTGCTCCTAACCATGTAAAGGCCCAGGCTTTGAGCCCACCCCTGTGTTTCTTTGTTCTCTCAACACTTAAGCATTTTAAGGGTAAAAAGCTTTAAGACGTTTACATTGCCAATGAACCACATCCAGACGTATTTTAATATTTAGTATCAGGAATAAGCTTGCTGGTCTTTTCTGCCTCTTCGTTGCGCATGTTTTTTGAGAAATTTTAAAAATACAGCTTTCTCCGACTGGTAGTGGTCAGTGGGATTGAATTTTCATGGAATTTTCTTAAGATAAATAAAGTCACATAAGTTTAATGTCCCCTTTGACCATGTCTTACATCTTTTCTCTATCTCCATGGGTAAGCCTTTTTCATTTTATTTATTTATTTATTTTCAAGAGAGGGTTTCTCTGTTTAGCCTTAGCTGTCCTGGAACTCATTCTATAGACCAGGCTGGCCTCGAACTCAGAACTCAGCGATCTGTGTGCCTCTGCCTTCTGAGTGCTGGGATTAAAGGCGTGTGCCACTATCACCCAGGGCCCTTTTTTTTTTAGATGCATTTTCATTCAAATAGCTGAATACATTATCTGTACATTTGAGCTTTGTTTGCATGGCTCTTCAGAGCTGTTCATGTTACTCTTGATCGGTTTTCTTTGTTCTTTAAAGTGTCTGCTTTGTAAACTTTTAAAAAGATTTATTGTTAATTATAAGTGTGGTGGGTATGTGGACATGAGTTCAGGTGCCCATGGAGGCCATAAGAGTGCATCAGATGCTCTAGAACAGAATTACAGGTGGTTATGAGCACTGACATAGGTGCTGAGACTCAAACCAGGGTCCTCTCTAAGAGAAGCAAGGGCTCTTAACCACCGAGCCCTCTCTCCAGCCCCTGAACCGCCTTATTCAGTGTTCACTCGTCCCTCCTGTAATGGATATTGTAATTATTTATCATTTTGCTTTTTACAAACATTTGTGGTAAAGAAAACCTTTTAGGTGCTTTTGGCATGTATGCTAGGATTTCTGTTAGGTATGACCAGAGAAATTGCCAGGTGCCATTTCAATTTTCTTAGACATTGCCAAATAACTTTCAGAGGGATTCCTCAAGCTTGCACTTCTGTTGGTCATGTGAGACCCTTCTTGTTCCTTTTGTCGGACAGTTGATATTGTCCAACTTTGTTTACTGGATCCATTTATTAAACAGATGCCCAGCTGCCGCACCAGCGTATGGACTTAGTGAGACACCTGACAGGACAAGACAGAACAGTTCCTGCCTTCATAGAGTATGCATTCCAGTAATCATAATAAACTCGGGAGCATGTCTGAAGTTCCCTTGCACTCCAAAGTCTCCCTGTGGTCTAAGGCAGGGCATCTGAAAGCTGTGGTCCTCCGTTCTATAAATAAATGTGCCCTTTCTTTACCCAGATCCAAAATGATCTTAACTGCTTTGTGCTTTAGCAGACAGTTCAAGGGGAGCTGTAAGAAACAGCCCCCAGATTGTTCTATGCACACTGAAAGATAGATGTGGAGGGCATTGTTCCTGTCCCTGCTGCTTCCACTCGTTCTTCCCACATGACCTTGGAAAACACACTTCTGAACACCACTTCTTTGATGCCTCTTTGGTAAAATGAGGGTGGTGGTATCTACCTCACAATATCATAAGGAATAGAAATTACATATGGAAAGCACTTAGCATGGTGCCTGGCGTACAGAAGGTGTTTGACAATCAGCAGTGATCACGATCTGGAGACAGATCGGCCTCCAAGCCGATGTGCTCTTACCATGTGGACTTAGAGGGACCAGCTGGTTGTATCCAGATTTGCTTGCCGAGGTGTCAGATTGGGTGTGCACACTGGCAGCAGCTGGCACCTGTTAGCTCCTGCTATGTCAGCCTGAGCCAGGCCTGCACATGTGTGAGCAAATGCTGAGGCAGGCGTCACTATTTCCTACTTAGCCTTTGTGAGTCCTTCTGGAAAAGAAGTGGGGTGACCAGAGCCCGGCCATAGTAAGGACAGGCCTGTGGTCAGAGCAGTGCTTCCTACGTTGTCGCCTACTTTGTTGGTTTTGCCTGTCATGTAAGGCTTGAACCCAGGGTCTCTATGTGCCTGTGCTCTACCACTGAGCTACAGCCCAGCCCCAGTCCACCATTTGCTCCGGCAACAGCTGTCTTGCTATTTTGTCTGTGTTCCCCAGAATGGAATGGAGTCTCCCTTAGGAATGTGCCATCACCTTCTCAGGAGGAAGGGATAAAGATGCCATATTCCAGAAAGGAGGCATGCCATGCTTGGGGATGGGGATTTGTTATCAGTTGGAACAGCACATCACACTGCTGTGATCCTTTCCTTCTAAGCTGAAAGTCTCCCTCCTTAGCTTAGACACCCTGGACACTGTAAATCTCTTTATGCCCTGCTTATTCCCCCCTTTCTCCTGCCATTCTTCTCTTTGACTGGAAAGTCTCCAGAATGCTACTTAATATGCCTATCAGTCCCAGAACAGAAAGTAATAAACAGATCACAAAGGCTGGCAGGTATCAAACCTACCAAGCAGAGACTTTTCTGCTTTTTAAATACATTATAAAGCACACATGTAATCATGTGTGGTATAAGAAGAATAAACACCCTCGTATCTACCACTCAGCCTAAGAAACTGAACTTGAAGCCAAGCCCAGTGGCACACACTTGTAGTCCCAGCATTTGGGAGGCTGAGGAGGATCAATAAGTACATGAGTTCAAGACCAGCCTGAGTAGCATAGTGAGGCCTTGTCTTGAAGGAAAAAAAAAAAAAAGGAAAGGGGAAAAAGAAGGGAAATAGACCAGTAATTTGGAAGTTCCAGTGCTCCTTCTGGTCATGGGCCCATTCACATAAGCTGCTTTGTTTAATTTTATGCTAATCATTCCTTTACTGTTCTCTATGAACTTACTGCCTGGCCTGAAACTCTTTCTGTAGACCAGGCTGGCCTTGAACTCAGAGATCTTCTTGCCTCTGCCTCCAGAGTGCTGGGATTAAAGACATGAGTCCCCACACACAGCCATTTTTTTTGGGGGAGCTCTATATTAATAGTATTAATTGTATAGTAATAGTCATAAAATGGTGTTTGAAAGAAAGTACAAAAAAATTTCAGTTACTAACTGCCAAATTACATTATCTGACCAACGAATTAAGATCTTGAGAGGATACAGCCATTTTTTTTAAGATTTATTTTTAACTATTATTTATGTATATTTGTGGTGTATGCCTGGAATATGGGTACTGGGACCTGAAACCCCCCCCCCCGTTCCATAGTAAGAGCAACAGTGCTCTAACTGCTGAGCCATCCCAAGTTCTATTCCACTTTTGCCTCTCAGGTTTTGTTTTGTTGAGGCGTGGTCTCTACTATATAGCACTGGCTATTCTGGAACTCACTATGTGGACTAGACTGTCCTCAGACTCACAAAGGTCCACCTGCCTCTGCCTCCAAGGGCCTCTCAGATACCTTTATTTTTAAGTGTTTTGCCTGCAAGTATCTCTGTGAACCAAGTGAGCAATGTCCATGGAGGCAAAGACGGCACAGGATCCCCGGGAACTGGTTAAAAGCAGTTGTGAACCATCATGTGGGTGCTGGGGGCCAAACCCAGAGTAACCTTTCTGGCCCTGGACTGGCTCTCCCCTAGATATTTTTTTCCTTGCTGCATTTGTGTGTGTCATGGAACATGTGTGCGGATCAAAGTACAACCTGCACCATCAAGCTTAAAATGTTTTCAAGATTCTCTCTAGTGCATCTAGTGCATCAATTACAGTGCATGGCCTGCACTAGGCGATGTTCCCACTGCTGCCACCTCCCTTGACTTCTACAAACACTTCCTTAATAGTTGATAATCCCTACTTCCACCACCACCCCACTTGGCCTCTGGTCCTATTTTCCAAAGCTCAGATAGAGTCAGGTTGTCTCTGCATATTCTTGGCTACTGCTCTCTCAAGCCTGCAGGTGATGGACTCCTTGGCCTGGCATTTAAGGCCTTGACATTCTTATCTTTCTGCAGCTTCCAGCTTAACCCTGTACAGTTTCCCTCAGACCTATCGGGTGCTGTCCTCTAAAGACCACCCCCTCACTGCTGCTCGCTCCACTCCCCCAACAGAAGCTGCTGTCCTGGTCTCCTCACAGCCCCTCCTGGTGAGATGCAGCACCATCAGCTGCTTCCACTGCTAATGTGTCTGTTCTCCCCTCAGATCTACGCTCTCAACAGAGTCATGACAGAGCTGGAGCAGCAGCAGTTCGACGAGTTCTGTAAGCAGATGCAGCCCCCTGGGGAGTGAGCCCACCTGCGTCCTAGTCTGAGAAACTAAACAAGACTTGTGGAGAACTCTGCACTGAACTTCCTGTAGGTAACTTTCACCACACTGGTTCCTCCTCTCAGAACTGGCCCAGTGCTTGCTGGGTAGACTTTTCATCTGGGACAACAGACTTTTTAAAAAGGCCTTTTTTCTACTGTGCAAGAAAAATCATTGTTTCTAGTGAAACTGTGCGTCTTCCCTAAAAATAATAAAATGCAAAATGTTCATTTGTTCTTACTTTAGGGTGGGAATGGCTGCTCACAGAAACGGGAATAAAGAATGGAGAAGGTGAGGGCTTGAGGGATGGCTCAGCAGTTAAGATCACTGACTGCTCTTGCAGGGGACCCAGGTTCAGTTCCCAGCATCCATATCCAACATTTTACAACCACCTGTAACTCCAGCTCCATGCATCCAACATCTTTTTCTGTACCCTGAGCACCTCACTCCCGCCTATACCCACAAAGACATGTGTTTGTGTGTGTGTGTGTGTGTGTGTGTGTGTGTGTATACACATAGTTAAAAATAAAATGTCTTTTTTAAAAAGAGCTGGCATGGTAGCACATACCTTTAATAAACTGAAGCAGAGGCAAGCAGATGCCTGTGAGAGGAGCTGCTTTGCCTTGGGAATAAGGACAGCTCATTATTTCCCTCAGGGGGAAGAATGCAGGCATTGGTGGATTTGGTACAGTAAGTGTGGAAGTCTTTGGAGAGCAAGAAGCGGGATGTGAGAGTGGACAGGGAAGGTGATGGAGGCTTGACGAGAGAGGGTATGAAGCCACAGTCTAGCTCCACAGAGTGAAAACAGACGTGCAGGGACATGTGGGACGACACCTGGGCAGCAGGAAGGCTTCACCGGGGATGAGCAGACATAGACACCAAGCAGCGCGGCCATGCAGTGTTCTCAGCCCTGCTGGAGGGAGGCGCAGGAGATGGAGAATTGCAGTTAAGTGAACCAGGGCTTTGCTCAGCAGCTAAAGTGGAAATAAAGAAGGGCAGGGAGTTGCATATTCCCAGTGCCTGCATTATAATGACGGACCCGGCTCTAAGCTGTGTGAAAAAGTAAGTGAGATCCAGACATGGTGACACACCTGTAATCCCAGCACTTGGGAGGCTGAGGCAGGAGGATCAGAAGTTGGAAGTTAGCCTGGGCTACATAGTGAGACCCTGACTCAGGGTAAATGAGAACTGGAAGAGGGTAAGGGACTTTGAAAGGTGCCTGAGGCTCATATGTTAGAGTTTCTACTATGGTTGAAACTGAGCTTCTAGAAGCATCCTGGGGGGATGATTAGAGACTAGGAACAGGCCAGAGAGGCTACTCTTACTGGTAATGACAGAGCCCAGGGAATTACTACAGAAGGCTGGAGGAGGATGGAGGACTAGCTCTTCGGAGTTTGCTGGAGGACTGGGAAGCCGGAGGACTGGGACAGCTGCCTTTGAGAACTGTCAGGATTTGTCGAGTGAGCTTGGGCAAGTCATCTGGCTCCTTGGTGTCTTCAGGAGGGTGTTACTATTTCTGCTTCACTGAGTCAGTGAGATGGAGAGCGCCACATCTGGAGTCCACCTGTGCTTGGGAAGCAGCACAGCTGGGGCACAACTCCCACCTGAGTCCCTAGTAAACCTTAAAAGGCGCTCTTACTCTTTAGTCGGCGAAAAATTAAAAGCTGTTGTGGCAATGAAGTTATCTATACACTGGGATTCCCACTGTTACTACTGTTTCTGTGTGACATTGAACAGGGAGGGCTGTAGAGCCACCCATCCTTCCTTCTTCCTTTCTTCCTTCCTTCTCCTTCCTTCCCTCTCTCCCTTTCTTCCTTCCCTTCTTTCTTCCTTTCCTTCTCCTCTCTTCCTCTTTTCCTCCTTTCTTTCCCCTTCAAAAAAAGCAGAAAGCATATTCCGTCCTACATGAGCAGGAATAGAGAAAAACAAGAGGTGGCATGATGGTGCACGCCTTTAATCCCAGCACTCAGGAGGTAGAGGCAGGTGGACCTCTGTGAGTTCAAAGCCAGCCTGGTCTACAAATTGAGTCCTGATAGCCAGGCCTACGCAGAGAAATCATGTCTCAAAAAGCAAAAAAAAAAAAACAACAAAAGAAAAGCCATGCCTACTTCTAGGGCTGTTCTAAACCCTGCTGATCACAGGCGTCCAGACACACATAATATGTGACTCTACTCCCATTGAGCTACTAGCCAGGGTTGAGGGGTGGGAAGCCAGGATTTCCCCAACCCCCACCCTGTGACTACAGCTAACGGCAACTCCAGGAGAGCGATCCAGGTACTTTCCGGTTTTCGCCGAGTCAGGTTTGTGAAGGGAATGTTCAGACTGGTCCCTTAGGAACCAAACAGCCATCACCCAGCTTCCTCTTCTAGGGGTCAAGGCCTACAGTTATCTCAGACGTGGGCTTCAGGAATATAATTCACTCCAGCGTGTTCCAGCAGGGTTTCTACAATGCTGAGCAAGGGCTGGGATCAAGAGTCTGTGCCACCATGCCTAGCTAACTAAAATCCTTTTTTTAAAAAGAATATTAGTTTTAAGTTGAAGGAGTTGCTAAATTATTCCTGTCATCTGTCCTTCAAAATACGGAGCCAATTAAATCAGTGGTTCTCAACCTGTGGGTCATGACCCCTTTGGGGGTCAAATGACCCTTTCACAGGGGTCACCTAAGATATCAAAAAACAAAGATATTTACATTACCTTTCATAACTAGCAAAATTAAGTTATGAAGTAGTAATGAAATAATTTTAAGGTTAGCGGTCACAACAACATGAGGAACTGTATTAAAAGATCACAACATTAGGAAGGTTGAGACCACTGAATTAAATGATGAATTCAAAAATCCAGGAAAAAAATGAGTTAAGAAAATCTCATCTTACTTGTGAAGCCTGACAACCCAGAACATGTAAATGGTGTTTATTAAACAATAGACTTTTGAACATTTCACCCTAAAAGGGGAAAAAAAAACTGAAGAGAAAATTACATATTGGTTTATACCCACCTTAATTCCATTGGAAAACGCTTGAGTGTTAGGAATAAATTAAGCTCACAGTCGTAGACCTGAGTGTGGTGGGCTTTCTTGGAGCGCCAGCTCCAAATCATGATGCGGAGACTTACCAGAACCACGAATGCTCGGCCCTAGTGTAGGTTTGTTTCCAGTTAGCCCCTATTTTAACTTAAATCAACCCATTTCTATTAACCCATGTGTTGCCCTGAGGCTCGCTCATCTCATCTACAAACTGTCCATCCGGCTTCCTCTGCACCTGGCTGACTGGCCCCCCTTTTCTCTCGACCCCCCAACTCTGCCTGTCCCTCCTCTGCCCACCCACTGACCATTGGCCATCTAGCCCTCCACTAGACAAATCAGGAGCCCCAGGCAGGTGAAGTAAAACAGCAACACACCCCTACATAGTTAAACAAATGCAGCAAAAGCAAGTGCAACACGTCTTTACATAGTTAAACAAATATTCTATGCCACAGCACCTGAGTTTTCAAAAATTCCAGTTTTTATATGAAAGCCCACATTTTAAAAAATTTACTCAGTCTGTCTACATGTTATGTATGTGCACACAGAGGCCAGAAGAGGACGTGGGATTCCTAAACTGGGGTCACAGAAGTTCTGCACTAACATGTTAATGCTAGAAACAAAACCTAAGTCCTCCAGCCCCCCAAAACACAACCCCCCCCAACAGAACTTTTTCTTGAAGTGACAGGCACACTCAGTTCATACCCCAGGAAAACCCAGTTGGAACTGCTTATGTGTTTGCCTTCCCAGGGGGAAGTAAATATTATTAGAAGTGAGGAAATGAACGCTGGGTGGTGGTGGTGCATACTTTTAATCCCAGTACTCGGGAGGCAGAGGCAAGTGGATCTCTGTTAGTTCGAGGCCAGCCTATTTATAGAGTGAGCTACACAGAGAAACCCTGTCTCAAAAAAAACAAAAACGAAAAAGAAAAAAAAGGAAGTGGACTTATAGAGATTAAACATTTCACTCAGAACCGGACCTACAAAAGCGACAGGATTCTGTCACAGGACTGATTCCCCTCAGATAAGGAGCAGTGCTTTGAGAGGCATTGCCACCATCCTGGGTTTGGACCAGAAACCCGCCCAGATTCCCTGACTTCAATCGTGTGCTGAAAGAAGCTCTCCCAGAATCCTTGCCTTTGTGCTTAGGGAAGCCCAGGAAGAGTCTCAGAGAAACTGCTTTCTAGGAAATAAAGGTGCTGAGGTGAACTGGCAGCTGAGTCCCCAGCCTGCTGAGAGGCAGTCAGACTCTGCAAGGAAGCCTCAGCCGCCCTGGTGCTGCCCTGGTGTCATTAACGCAAGGGGACAAAGGCAAACCAATGGAGTAAGAGTTATCACTGTTACAGTCACCGAGGAGTTCAGCTGCCGAATGAAACAGTCTTTGTGGGATCTATATCTTGCTTTAACTCTGCTTCTGCCACTTTAAATGGACATGACTCTGGAATCAGAATTCTTTGGGGTTGTTTTGTTTTTCTTTTGAACAGAGAAACAGTCAGAAATCACTTGATTTGATCAAAACTCGGAAGTAGTGTGAGGACACCACTGACTAATCTCAAGCATCAGATCTTTGAACAAAATTTAATTGGTTGAGAGTAGCACAAGCATTGTCTCCTGTCGCCTACTCTTATGAAAGCACTGTGGTCCCTAAGAGCTCACGCGACAACAGTGCTCAACGATTGGCTCACACTGACATGAGTGTCAGCATGGAAGAGCATCACCTGGGTATGTCTGAGCCCAAGTGGACGTATTCTTACTAGAGAAACCTTCTTTATAACTTCTGAATCCACAGGGAAATTGATTCACCTGCAAAGTCAACATTTTTTGAGTGCTAGGCACTGTGGCAGGTGCTAGAAATAATAAGCATAAATGAAAGGCCATTATGGTCTAGCAGAACACAGTAGACGCATCTAACAGTGACCGCATAAAAGATGAAACACTGGGGAAGAGAGGCCTGGGAGAGACGGTGCTGCCCCAGCTTCCATAGAGTTGTAATGATATTGGCATTTTTTTTCTTTCATTTGCAAGTTGGTATTTATTTTTAATTTAATTAGATTTGTGGCAAATTTACCACATATATACTACTCTTTTGTGTTTGTTTGGTTTGTTTTTTTGGCTTTTTGAGGATTTTTATGTGTATCTTTGGAGCCTGTCCTAGAACTCGCTCTGTAGACTGGACTGACCTTGAACTCACAGAGATCCTCCTGCCTCTGCCTCCTAAGTGCTGGGATTAAAGCTGTGCAGCACCACCTCCCAGCTCATATATTTACTACTCAGTATAAAACTTCAGTGCCAGGGGCTACAGGGATGGTTCAGCGGTTAAGAGCACTGACTGCTCTTCCAGAGGACCCAAGTTCAGTTCCCAGCACCCACATGACAGCTCATAACTCCAGGATTCAACCCGCTCACACAGACATACATACAGGCAAAAGACCAATAAAATAAAATAATTAAAGTATTAAAAACAAAACCTTCAGTGGCAGCCGTTGTAGAGGAGCCCAGGCGCCACCGTGTGGGAAGAGGCAGAATTAGCCAACCGTCCTCTGGATGTCCCACCTGAAGACAGGATCCAGGGTGAAGCTAGGCTTCCTGGTTATTCTTCATGAGGTGCAACTTTGGAATACAATATAAGAGCATGCAGTATTTCTGTCTGATTTGAGTTTAATAAGACAGAGTGACATCTGAGTGGGGTTTAGTGTTTGAGAACTTAGAAGAGATACACACGGAATGAGCTCACTGGAAGCCAGGTGTGATGGCTTTTCTTCTGACTATTCTTGGTTGTCAGCAACATCTGTAACTAACTAAACCAAAGCAGGTTTAGTTAGTTTTTAGAGGGATTTTCCTTTTTTCTCGTTTTGAGACAGGTTCTCTCTATGTAGTCCTGGCTGTCTATGCAGTCTACGTTATCTCTATGTAGGCCAGGCAGACCTCGATCTCACAGAGATCCCCATCTCTGCCTCCCAAATGCTGGGATTAAAAGTATGTGCCACAATACCTGGCATGAAGGAATTTTCTCAAATCACTTAAAGTTAGAAGACCCACTTTTAATCATGATTTTTTTTGAGGTGGGAATGGTGTGGGAGGATTATCTGTATTCTGTCAATCATATTTTAATAAAATGCTGATTGGCCAGGCAGGCAGTATAGGCAGGAAAGCCAGACAGGAAGTAGGGGTGAAGCAAGGAGACTGGGAATATTCTGGAAAGCAGGAAGCTCCCTCCGCAGTTCTGCCCAGACCACTGGAGAGGAAAGATGTAAGCTACCCTGCTGGAAAAGGTACTGAGCTGTGTGGCTAACATAGATAAGGATAATGGGGTAACATAAGTTATAAGAGCTAATAAGTAGCCTGACCTAATGGGCCAATCAGTTTATAACCTTATGGAGTCCTGTGTGTGATTTTCTTTGGGGTTTGCCGGCTGTAGGGTACCGGGCGGGACAGAAACCCCAACAAGCCGGCCCCTCATGCTACTTGGGAAGAGCCACCTTTAATCTGGGCTATAACTTCTGGTGGCAGCCTATATAAATAAAGGACACGGGAGAAAGAAGCTTGCTCTCTTTGGCTGCTTGCCCCCACTAACAAATCCATTCCTTCACTGGCATTAGAACCTCCTTCTCTAAGACCAGCTGAGACATCCAGCCTCATAAACTGAACTACTACTGGATTCTTAGACTTTCTCTTGGTAGACAGCCATTGTTGGACTAGCTAGATCACAGCTAGCCACTCTAATAAAAGCCATTTATAGATAGATAGATAGATAGATAGATAGATAGATGGATGGATGGATGGATGGATGGATGGATGGATGGATGGATGGATGGAT